TTTCTTGAAGTTCAGGAGCAGATGGATAATTATCATCATAATTGACATTACACCCTGGTAATTCATTTCTTAATAATTTGATTATTCCTTCACGATTTTTAATGTTTGGTAAACGAGCCAAATCAATTTGTTTTAAATTTCTACAATAACAATTTTTGTCTATATTTTTAAAATAAAAAATATCAATTCTTTACTTTAAATCAGTTAAATCGCCAACACCAATTTCACTTATTTGAACTAGATCAATTAAAGCTATAGATTCTAATGTATCTTTGACTTGTTTCAATCGAGAAATAGAACCTAAAAATAAATTCAATGAGAGAATCATCTCTAATATCTCTAACATACTATCAGGAAGTTGGTCACATTTTTCTAAATGAATTTTCTTTAGAGCAGTCAAACCATCTATTTAGAGAAAAGAAAAATAAATAGAAATATTAATAATATAATATTAAGTAATAGAAAACCTAAATAAGAAAAGCCATCAGATGTAATACAAGCTTTAACAGCACGAATTTCTTCGATTTTATTTTGTCCCGAAGTACCACTTGGTATAGCATTATAATCTGCTGTTACTGAAGTCGAATTCTTAAAACGTACTGAACCACCACATCTTAATAACCATTCAGCACAAGCACGATCAGGACCAATTTCTTGAACACGTTTTCGATCATATCTATAGAAAATGAATTCGATTAAAACTTGCCGTTTCATAAGTTCTAAGCTCATAGATATCACTATCTTAATAATAGATGTATAACATACCGTATTGATAACAATTCAAAAATCGATGATTATATGATTTACTTTTATTTCTATCGATTAAAACAATACTCAAGGAATAATATACTATTCTATTATGTAAATTGTCTAGTGATGTAGATGTGATCATAAATCTGCATGATCTTTGGAAATCGAGGGTTTTTTTTCGACATAGACTTACTTCGTGTCTTAGACAAAATAGTATTTAATTTTGAGAAGGTTTTAAAATGTCTTATGAACGACAATCTATATTATGAAGATTTAAATTAACGTTAGATATAGATTCTTTTGAATGACACTCCTAGTTTCAACTTGTATTACCTATTCCAAACAATATTCAACCAAGTCCAAAATTGTCGATTATTAGATAATAAAATATTTGAAGTTAAACGTTTTGTAAGTGTGATTGTCATCTAAAAGTTTAGAAAAATAAAAGAAGTCTTTTTTTTGTTTTTATTGCGCAAAAAAACTGTGATCTTAAGATCCTTACAATACAAATAACATAATTATTAGAGAATATTTTTCTTTTTTAATATGTCGTGAACATCTTTCATTGTTTTCCATAGAAGTAATTCAGTTTTTAATTGCTTAAAATATTGATTTTTTAATAAATCATACATTTTATAAGTTGTTTCTGATTCTTCATCGTATTTAGCAAAAGCATAATCTGTTTTATCTAAACGTAAAGCTGCACAAACATCATTATCACCATCACCAACGAAAACTATTTTATCATATCTATTGCTATTACGATATTGATCGATAATTGAACCTTTACATAGATTTGGTTGACAAAATGTACAATTTGTTTGTAAAGGATTTTCGTATTCATCAATAATTATAAGTGGTTCGCGTTGTCGTACTGGATTACTTTTGATTTCGTCTACATATTGTAGTAAATTTTGTGCGCGAAGACATTCTTCAATCAGGAGATCACATGCATTACTTATAATAATTATTTTATGATTATTAATATGTATATCACGAAAGAGTTCGGCAGTACCTGGATTTAATTCAATCGTACGAAATGCTTCAATTAATTGTTCTGTATTAATACCTTGTTCAGCAAGTTGTTTATGTACTTCATTCATACGTCTGTTCCAACAATGATGAACATGTACATAACCATGATTAATATCATCAAGATTTAATTTTTCTTTATTAGGAGCAAGTTCTTCTATAGGATAACAAGATGCACGGACTGATAATGTCTCATCAAAATCGAATATAAATAAAATTGGTAATTTTTCCATTAAAAAATAATCTGAAACAATTCAAATCACTTTAAAGTTTTTTGAAGAACTTTCAAAATTATATGTTCGGTCAAAATCATTAAATAACCGAGATATAAATTAAAATAATCTTATAGAGACTATTCTAAGTATTCGTGTCAGCTAATAATTAATAAATTCATTGTCTGATGACAGAGAGGAGAATACTTACAATGTTCATATCGTTAGAATTATAACAATGAAAAATAAATTATTTAAAGGTAAAGTACTTAAAGCCAGTATAACAATTACACTTATTATAGACAACCAAAATCGTTTGATAATAGATCGCTTTATCTGTTTATATACTTATCAACGTGAATTCCTTCATCATCATCTACATTCATATAACTTAGTATTATATTAGATTTTTTGTAGAAATTATCAAGAAAATAAATAAGTAATTAAGATTAAGCTTTACAGCCTCTAATTACTTAATGCCGAAAACTCTACTAACTAAAAATTATTTACCTGTTACATTTCCAAAATATTTAATGAAGTTTAATCATTTTATAGGGTGGTGTGAAATCAATTTCTACGGTTTCTTGATCAGATACGCTCATATGATCGTGTATTTTATATAAACGAAAAATAGATGTCATAAGCCTAGAAATGAGTTGTTTTTCTATAAGTTCTATTAAATCATTACAATCAATACATTCATATACGAAAAACAAGATACTTCGTTCTAATTTGCTTTAGATTAGGAACTATTCTTAACATTACAATATGACACTTAAGAGTAAAATACAATTAAATATATATAATAACATCAATCAAACTACTTAATTACTTGTTGATGTATTATAATACTATAGATGAAAAAAAGCATTCTATCTATAATGATATAATGTTAGACATTTACATTTATTAGAGATGTAATATTAGTATGATTGTATCAAAAAAGTTAAGTATAACAGAACGAGATTCAATTTTTGTTTTTATTCCATAAAACAGAAGAACAATCCGAGAGAGATAAGAAGAGAAAGAAAAAAAGAAAGAAATTACCACCAGTAGTTAGAAAAAATTATAGTTTAGTATGTCAATTTTAGTTTTTGATTCGTAGAATAAATAAGTGATGCAATAAATAATTATTGCACATGTTAAGAAGAGAAAGAAATGCTTGATTACGTTACAGACAGATATAAATCTTTTTATTATTTAGTTGTCTTTTCGTTTATTTTCTTCTTCTTCTGATGACGATAATAATGCTGAATGTTGTTGTTCTCGTTGATTTTCAATGGATGACGAACGAGATCGAGATTCATTGGTATTTTCTGACGCTGGAACACGAATTGATCGTCGTACTACATTGGATTCTGTACCTGCCGATTTGTTATCTATTCAATATGAAACATTAAGATAATAGAAATATGAATAAATCATAAAAATGAAATATACCTTCGTTTGCATCAGATGATTCTGAAGATGATAAGTCTGTACGTGTAACTGTTGGTTCAGCTTGTGTTTGACTTACTGTTGTTGCTGCTGCTGGTTGTGGATCATGAGCAACAATATCACCATGAAAGACCGGTTTTTGTTTACGAGCACTATTAAAATAATTACAATAGGCACAACGAAAAGCTAAATAGAAACTTAGGCAATATTTATTACTAAATTAATAAGATTAATCATACATAAATATTCATATTCTTCTTCCAGTGCCATGCCTATAAAAAGTATAACAAAAATCACTATTATTATTATTTATTCAATTGATAAAATAACAAACCATTATGACTATTACAGGATTTACAGATTAATGCATAGCTAAATAGAAGAAGAAAAAGGTGAATTCAACGTATTCGAAAGAAAAGCTAATAAAGCAAATGATAAATCATCTAACCAAAAAACATAATACAACCATAAACCTTATCCTAGATTTAAGATCATTCTACCGAAATCGAAATTTCCATCGTTCATGTAAACGCTCGTCGCAAATTAAACTGTAATATGTAAAACTCCGACCGATTTTAAATTTTTATTCGAATAAGAAAAATATGATAATCTTACCGTTTTGATGGACCATCACCTACAATAACATCGAGAATTGCTCCCCAGAATGTTCGTTGTGGTGGTAAAATTGCCCGCGGTAATTTGCCAGGTGTAGCACCCACTAAATTCGATTTAGAAGGTTAATTTTAATAGTTATATTAGTAATTATAGTTACCTGTTGGACGAATGGGTCCACCACTCATTGGTGTTTGTGTATTACTTGATTCTAATCTACCGATATTAGGTGGTGTAACTAAATATAAAAAAATATTTTTATTTCAAAAAAACGAAGAATTAAATATTATACCAGAAACAGGTGGTTTATTTGCACCAGCTGTTGTTGGTTGAACTGATACACGTGGACGAACATCTATTAAAAAATAAAAAACAAAGAAATCAATCTGACTGCTTCACTTGTTAAGATAGACATACTTGTATTAGCAGCTTCGGTTGCTGATGGTTGAACTGCAGGTGTAATTGTTTCGCCATATTTTTCTAAGAGACTTTTAGCTACTGCATATGTTTCTTTAGTTTTCACCTCTTCAATCTAAAAATTAAAAAAAAAACATTTTCCTTATTTTATTTTATTATGCACGCAATTCTTACCAATTCTTGTTTTCGATCTTTGAATAATGCTAATCGATCCTCTAAAAACATAGAATAAAAAGAAATTATGATTTCTTCTATTTTATATACATTGACAAACCTTTCATATGAATCATTGTTCGAAAATACCAACAAAGAAGCCAATACATTCCATAAAGTCTTTTATTTTTAAATATAAATAATTTTTCATCAACAACAAAAAAAACAGATACTTACAATGCTCCCAATGTTACAGAGATCATGATTGCATAAGTACGAATTAGATACTCATGTGAAAGGAATAAAGTAAAATAAACGACGTTCAAAGCTAAATATGCGAGTATAGCATAGATAGCAAACCATTTCGTCCATATGCGTTGTTGGAGACGTGTCTGAGTTAATACTTGCTGTAAATGAAGTGATTCCTACATAGATAAACACGAAAAAAAAATAATATAATTATGAAAAATAATGAAGCTTACTGTATGAAGATCTTCAAGTTCTTCAGCAAGAGTATGGCGAAATTTCTATAAGATATAAATCGTTTTTTATTAATAAAATTAATAAAAAAAAATATAGCATACGAATATTCGAAGTTTAAATAATCGACTAAAGAAAGACATAGTTAAATATTCTACTTGTTCAAAACAAGGAGAAACGAATAATCTATAATAAAAAAAAGAAATGATATTTTGGACTTTTATCTATGTATATATTTTTATCAAGAAAAATCTATTAATGTTTCTCGTTTTCATGAGTCTCTTCAAGCAAGAATATATTTAAAATGTGTCTGTCAATTATTTGTGGCTTCTTTTGTGATTTACATAAGACAGACCACCAGCTGTCGTTAGTTGGTTTGCCTTGAAAAAAGACTGACGAGTATTGTAGTCAGATGTTACGTTATAAACGAAGCTCAAATAACAACGAAACATGTGTGTTATGTATTTATTATTATTGTTGTTTCTTTCGTTTTATTTTTTTCATAAAGTCTATTATGATTCATTTGGTTTGATAAGATCTAACCAATCCGTTTATTGATCGTTTCTTTATGTATTTTTCTCGATCGTATATGTATGCACTTCTATCGTAGTAAATTTAACATCGTTTTTCCCCAATTTTACATCATATAGAAACAATCTCTAACCATGAATGATTTAGCAAGGTAAATAGAAATATTGATTTCCAATATATAATTTATTTTCTTTACTATAATTTAATTTCACAGACGTGTTAATAGTATTATTGTTAAAAATTTACCAACAAATTATGATGAAGTAGATTATTCGGTTGAAAAAAAGATTATTTTTATGTTTATTATTTATCTAGAGTCAATTGCAAGAACTTTTTTCAAAATTTGG